AGGTGAGAAAACTGGCCATTCTGGCGCAAACGCCGCACTGTGTTGGCCAAACAAATGAGCCTCAAAGTAGTGACGCTGGACGTCCACATGTTTTATCTTTGCTGCCCGCCCGTACCGCTGCACCGCAGGCACGGTTGCTTGGGCATTGGGGAAACTGTAAACAACATCGAGATTTTCAACAAATTGGAGGCTATTTCAAAATACCATTTTATAACGACAACGTGCGAGTGAAATGGCGGAGGAACTCAGGGGTTGTATCCAGGATTTTTTCTGGTGGCGGCTCGTGATCATCAATTTTTTGCGACCTTTTCAAGCAATGAAATAGCAGCCAAGACTGTGATTACAGTGTCAATACTAATCAGCGGGTGTACAGCGATTTGTACCGGGGGGGGGGTAACCGAAACCCAAACTGGAGCACGCGAAGGGGTCTGGGGGCTTCCCCCAGGAAAATTTTGAAATTATACCTTCCTTAGAATGGCGTTTTCTGCGCGCGAAGAGGGGGGGTCGGCCCACTGGACCCCCCGTGGTACACGCCCTGACAATTTAATTAAACAAAAAAATTTGTTTCAAAAAAAAAAATCAGTTTCAAAAAAAATGTTTCTGACTCAGTTTGAACAACAGTTTTTCGAACTTTGCACTTTAAGTCTAGGTGCGTTGTCTGATCTTGTCTTTCTTTGTCTTTGTCAGTACCTTTGTCTCTCTCTTTATGAAACAAAATTTTGTTTAAAAAAAGGACTCAATTTCAGAATTGCTGCGAATTGGATAGCATTTACGTCAGTGCAATTGTCAATGTCTTTGACTCATTGGCTGGTACCTGATGCTTTTCATTATATGTCATTGTACAAAGGCCTCGAAAAAAAATGTCTTTGGAAAAAATGTGGACTTTTAAAATTTTGGGGGGGTCGAGTATCGACCTCACGACGCCCGCCTGCATGACACCCATGGAAACTTAGAAGTTTATTTTGTCATTAGAGCAGTGTGATTATGCATGCGCACGATATATTGTAGTTATGTACTGGAGAATTAGCGTTTGGATGCGCATTGTGAGCCTTAACCTGCCTCTGAGGCGTCAAAAGGTTATCCGACACTTCCTCTTCGCATAGCTCAGCAGACGGTAATTCATGTCTTTCAATAAAGCCATAAAAATGCTAGGTCAGCTGCTGAAACAAAAAGTTTTTCAATCCTCCGCTCAGAACCGCGATGTCCTCGCAGGAAAGGTGTTCTCACACATGCTGCCGTCGGTGGCCGCAGGGCCTGGTGCCCATTGACCTTTGACCTGTGACCTCCAATTTCGGCACAGTGGTGGCTTTTCCTACCATGATGCTATACACCGACTATCACGAGCCTAGGTCGAGCCGTTTAGATTTGTGCCGCAATTCTGCATTTCCTCCCTATACTTTAAGTTAAGGAGTGAATGTTCCCCCTTCTTTTACACCCATTGACCTTTGACCTTTGACCCCCAGCTTCAACATCCCAACTCGTTTTGACGATCCTCCCCGATGTGCCGAATATCGTGACCGTACGTCGAGCGGTTAAGATTTGTGCCCAACTGTTGACAGACGGACGGACGGACAAGATGCGATTCTACAAGCTGCATCTGACTATGTCCGATGAGCTAAAAATAATTCTCTTATAATATTTTACTAACTTCATATTAACTTAAGACTTTAGGTTACAGTATTCAAGCTTTGTTATTATAATTTAAAACAGCAATTTACTGGTTGCTCTGTAAATTTTACAAGGGGAACAAAATTAACCAAAGTGCAACTATGATTTGACCAGGACCAGGAAACATGAAACAACACGGGTTAAGCAAAATGCTAGTCCCATGGTTTGCCTTGTCTGAAAATCCATCACCCGTTGACTTCCGGTAGAGACTGCACATTTCCGCTTCAAAATTTGCCAAATTCCGTTTCAGAGATTACTAAATTCCACTTCAATTCCGTTTCAGCAAATTTTTTTGATTCTCCACCACTAGATGTCACTAGCATACTGTACAATACATCACAACTGTCTATGTCAGCATTCTCAATGGGAGTGGGGCTGTCTAATAATGTATTTTTTTTTTGGATCTGTAATTTCTTTTGGAGGATTAAAGTGATGAATGTAAGATGAGTTTTCATAATCATTTTGTGTGTGTTGGGAGTGATTTGAGCTGTTTTAAAGGTTATTTGTGTGTTTTGGGAGGTTATGGTGATTCCGTTTCAGAGGGGGTGATTCCGTGATTTCCGTCCATTTTCCGTTTTTATGGAAATGTGCAGTCTCTATTCCAGTTTTGGTTAAACTCAGCCGGGAACGAGTGGCAGCAATTGCATCGTTTTCATGCCTTACGTCTCATAAAATAATGAATAGTTTGGTATTTAAACAATCAGCACCTGCTCAATCCTAGTCTGGGACTATGGTATACATAGTTCACGCATATACTAAACTAATCCAGAGAGACATGATACAAGATTGCGTGGCACAGCTTTGCTGTTGATCCTAAGCGCTGCGTGCGGATGAGACGCGCAGTTCCGCGGGATATGCGCACGCAACCGGGGGAATGTTCAAGTATGAAGCGCTGTCCGCAGTGGAGATGTGCGCCAAATTCGAGGCCCGGCGCACGTCTCCACAGTGGTCAGCGGATGGTCTGTTTTTTTAGAAGATGACAATGATTATATATGGACGATATTCTAGGTATTGGAGATTATAAAGCAGTAACAAAAATCGCTCAGTCATGCTCCAGAATAGCTGAATCAAAAAGATTAGAATTTAATATGAACAAAACAAATACAATGGTTATAAAATTCACAAACAAAGAAAGGATAGAAAAGGAGACCAAGGCAACCAAGGCAATAGGCAACCAAGCCAATAGGCAACCAAATAATCAGAAAATGCACCAAATATTCATACCTAGGGGATTTAATTAATGAATACTGCAGGGCTTTTCAGATTGAAAAAGTCAGGAGGACTAATTAATGACTCCCATACGGACGCACCATAGGGGGTCTGTTTCACGCTTCATAATTCACACTCCTTTAAGAGGCATGATTGCGACGAGCTCCACACTAAAAAATCACCACCCTTTAACGAGGTGCATGATGGAGAGCATCCCACTAAAAATTCACATTTTAGAGGAAAAGGGATGATGGATGAGCTCCTGAGGGGCTCTCGCATCAGTGTCGCTCTTTGGCGGTGTGATGGATGGAATCCAGTAGACCAATCCTCAGTCTTAAGGTGAACATCCAAAACGAAAATTGGGATGTCATGTCATCTACTGATTTATCATTCATTCCTTCACCTTCTTTCATTCGAAATGGCTTCGTCAGGATTTACTTCATATATATATACCCAACACTAAGCCACACAGGTTAAAAAAAAGAAGTTGGATCGGATGTAAAATAAGACTTGTTTTTTTATTTACTGATTATCCACCCTTCAGAGGATTCTTAATCCATTGTACCTTGCGCATATTTCAGCACAAAATATCATCACAATCCATCAACAATACAGCTAATTACTTGTACGTAGTAGCCACGTATGTAGCCCTCCAGCCCTACGACTGTTTCACTTAGCAGAAAACACTTCTCGCCAGTATAGTAGTAAAACGCAGCAGGTAAACTTGTGGGCTCCGTATAGGTACTCTGTTTATTCGGATGCTGTTTGTGCTTAGTTTATTTTATATATATATCATAAACAGGAGCGGTAGTACCAGGACCATGTACCTCTGCCATACGTTCAGTCATGTTACACAACCACAAATTGTTGTGTGTTGCTAACTTTTTGTACCCCTACACTTGAGAACTCTATGGAGCACTATTTCAACATAAGTAGACATCTTTTGGTGCGCGACTCTCTCAACCACCGGCCCACCACCAAGACACGGCTGTTTATGAGGCGCGATTGATGCCCCTTAAAAATGCAAGCTCGAGCCCCCTCCACTTTTATCCCCCCCCCGCCACCCCACACTTCGTGCCTTCGCACGCGTGCCCTCGCCACTTTTGGAGATGAGGGGCGATCGGTGCCGCTTAAAATGAAGCCTGGGATATGAGGTTAATAAACACTGAAAAAATGTTGACTGACTAGAAGCCGTTTTCATGGAGCGCAAATAATTTTTTATTATCATGGGCAAAAGCAAAATTTGGAAATCATACCCAGGGTTTCTCCCAAGATGAAAGTTGAAAACAGGGGGGAGGGAGGGGGGAAACTAGTGGGGGGTCGTGGAGGACGTTTTTTTTACGGCTACCACTAATGCGTAAAATCGCCACCACACCATAACTTGGTATTTGGGTACCTACGAACACATTGGTATATCAACGATACGCCGGAGTCGGTTTACAGGTTGAGCCTCTGTATAGGGTTGGATTAGGGTTTAGGCGAAGAGGTGACTGTTTGTACTTGCTGTTGGCTGCAGCGCCATGCGTAGCTGTTAGGACGTTTACAATAATGGTACTGGGTTAAAAAATAAACGCGTCCCGGTGGCATTGGTCGAATGGAATTCTGGGCACCGATCGGTTTCCGCGACTGTCAACTCTTTTATTGTGGTGGATTTAATCGAGCGCGGAAGTAATTTTTAAACGTGCCACAACGTTGCATAATGGGGCGGGGGGGAGCTTTTTTCCCAAAAACAGGGCAGGCGCGCCCGGTTTGGCAACGGTTAGGGAGGGAGCCTGCATTACTATAGAAGCAAGAGTGAAATTATACAAATGCACAGTTTTACCTTCCTTCGTTAAATAACAGTGAAACATGGACTACTTGGCTAAGAAAGAAGTAAAAATGTTAGAGGATGTTCCAAAATGGAGTGCGCCCGCTAGATAATAATCATGCAGAAAACGCAGAATAAAATCTCGGAAGGCATTGGAAAGACAATTTTGAAAATTCAAGAAAGTACGCGAGAAATCAGTAACAAATAACATATATAGTTTCTATCGTAAATCGTGGTAAATACATTAAAAATGCATTATTTTATTGAAAATCCCCATATTTACTTATAAAACATCCAAGAGATGGCGCTGTGGCATGTAAACATTAGCTGTATTTTGATGAAAAATGTTCAATGAATGACGCACTTGTTTACTTCCGACAGCGAGTGAAAATGCGGAAAATTTTCCTCTTCGATGCGAAATGCATCGGCCGAGCATTTCATTATTTACGAAAAGTAAATAGGCTGGCGAAAAAACGGTAGGTACAGGAACCGGTAACGTCGGTCACGCCCCATTCATGCCCATCAACGAAGAAGGCGGGGCTTATTCCGATTACGGAGATGGAAAAATTATACAGAAGGACATAGCGCAGTGCGCTAAACAGCGTGTTATTTTCTCTATCGTAGGAAACTGTTCTAGCCTAGCAGAATGCCCTAGTTCCTGAGATCGGCGATTCCATGCTGTTATGGGTCCCCACCTATAAAAATATCAAGCAGAGGTGCGGCGTAGGCTATGATTGGAACTCGCAGCTAGGGCCTGCATACCTCCCAAATCCCATTGGTTGATACAAATCACGTGCCTGAAACTCCTGTTTTAAGAATTCCTTTTATGGTGCATTGTGACCCTAACCCTAACCCTAACCCTAACACTACTTAGAATTTAATTTAAAAAATTAACTATATTTGTATCAACCAATGAGAGTTGGGAGGTATGCAGGCCCTAGCCGCGAGTGTGATTGGAAGACACAAAGGGTCTATCCTCGGCAAGCCTCGGCATCATGGCCGCATCACGTCTAGGGTGCTAAACTAGGATTGGGCTGCAGTGCCCAGGACTGGCAGGAGCAGCACTCCATTACTGAAAATCAGAGGTGTACTGATTCAGTGATTGATTGGGGAATCATGTTATGCTGTAATGTCTAATGACGTTCAGAGACCGAGCTAAATATAAATTTTTGTTGAGCAAGAGTTTGAAACGATCTTTTTATGTATGGATTTTTGTTGTAACTAATGAATGTCAGAATGAACGGAGAAATGCCAAGGAAACAAACTAAGCAATTCAATTCCTTTGTATGGTATATGACTGCTTAGTTATGAGTAGAAACTAACAAAGATAAAGGGTTGAAACGCTGGTAGAAAGAGCTACGGTTTGCGTCAGTGAATCATGATCTAATTGCCAGCAACTGATAATTAATCAAATAAGTGTCGACTACTTCAAGTCCGATATGTTATGCAAAACAGCCCGTTTTAATACAAGTTACAACTATTACTATTAGTATACTAGTATTAGTACTATTACTATTAGTATTAGTATTAGTATTACTATTAGAACTACAACAAGTTACAACCAAGGCCAAGCAGTAACACTGCGAAGATTCCAGACTGAACATCTTCGTACTTATCATTCAGTTGATCTTCAGATCCAGGCAACGGGTGCACTATAAAGTGAAGAAAGGACATCGTGTCTTTTCTTAATAGGCGAATCTCGGAGCAATGAGCATTTGTTTAGGCTGCCCTGATGGAAATTACTTTTCCTCTGCGTACCGCCATGTTGGATTTTGCACGCAAAACGCATGCGCAAAGCTGTTATCGTCAGCGTCACTGGCATTGCATGGGGTAAACTCCACGACAGATGGCGCTCTCGCTCTCGCTCAATTTACGACTTAGACTGGTACCCGGTCCCACCTCTCGTTTTAGTTATTCGATGAATTGGTTACCCCATCGAGTAACAAAGCCGAGAGGTGGGACCGGGTACCAGTCTACCAATCGTGATGCGGCCATGATGCCGAGGCTTGCCGAGGATTGACACTTTGTGTCTTCCAATCACAGCCTACGCGGCTACGCCGCACCCGTGTTGATATATTTTTAAGATGGAACCCATAACAGGACCAAATCGCCGATCTCAGGAACTAGGGCATTCTGCTAGGCTAGAACGCTTTCCTACGATAGAGTTTGGCACAAAAACGAAAATAACACGCTGTTTAACGCACTGCGCTGCGTCATTCTGTTGAATTTTCGCATCTCCGTAATCGGAATAAGCCCCGCCTTCTTCGTTGATGGGCATAAATGGGGCGTGACCGTTACGGGTTCATGTACCTGCCTGTACCTACTGTTTTTCGCCGGTCTATTTACCCTTCGTAAATAATGAAATGTCCGGCCGATGCATTTCGCATCGAAGAGGAAAATTTTCCGCATTTTCACTCGCTGTCGGAAGTGAACGAGTGCGTCATTCATTGAACATTTTTTTTATCAAAATACAGCCAATATATTTACATGCCACAGCGCCATCTCTTGGATGTTTTATAAGTAAATATGGGGATTTTCAATAAAATAATGCGTTTTTAATGTATTTACCAAGATTTACGTATAGAAAATATATGTTATTTTTACTGATTTCTCTGCATCTTTCCTTGGAATTTTTATCGTCTTTCAATGCCTTTCCGTAGATTTTTCTGCGTTTTCTGCGTGGTTATTATTTTGCGCAGGCACTCATTTTGGAAATCCTCCAACATTTTTACTTCTTCCTTATATATAGTTAAGTTAGTCCATGTTTCACTGTTATTTAGGAAGGAAGGTAAAAACTGTGCATTCGTATAATTTCACTCTTGTTTCTATAGTAGAGGGGGGAACGGGTATTTTTGGGACGCGCGATTGGCCATTTTATTTACCTGGGAACTGGGAAATATCAGATAAAGTCCATTGGGACGTGGGAAAGACCCTCTAAAATTGTCTGGGATCTGGGAAAATTGTGTCAATTAGTCGGGATTTCAATTTCTGCGCTAATATATTTTTTTTATTCTGCGCTAATTAGATTTATGTAGACCCCAGATAAATAATAGTATATATATGTAAATATTAGTATTTATGTAGTGTTTGAAAACCTAAACTACTGAATTTCCTGAAACATGTCTACATAATTTCCTGGGAACTGGGAATTGGGATTTTATTTTTCTGGGAACTGGGATATGGGGTGTTTTTTTTGCTGGGAAAGTAGGAATGTACCCCCCCCCCATAGTATGATTTCCATAATTTTGCTCTTCTGCCCATGATAATAATATTATTTCGCTCATCATGAAACGGCTCATCATCAACATTTTTCAGTCGTTATAACATCCTATATCATTAATTAAATCCCCTAGGTATGAATATTTGGTGCATTTTTAGCTCACCTTGACATTGTCAAGCTGAGCTATTGCCAACGATAACTCAGGAACCGTTTGACCCACATGTTTGAAATTGGGTATAGTTGTTACTGCTATGCTCCCATATTAAACGTCCTATTTTGGAGCACGCCAGTCGACGTACTTTCGAGCCACGGCAATTTTTTTTGCCAAAAATGGGAATTGCCATTAGTCCGTTCAGGCTTCAACTGATTTTGGTTCATTTTTGTTGGTGATAAATAGGCTATGGTTTTATTTAAAAAAAAATATTATGAAATTAGTGGTTTGCAATATCATAATATTATATAGACACGCAGTAACAAACAAGTCTGTGGTGTCACATCGTCTGGTATCGTTTTAATAGATTTATCATTGGAAAATATCTTTAATGCAAATTCACTGCCTGGAATATTATAATTATACTATTATATTATTTATTTTTTATGATATATGATTTATGCGAAGAACATCAAAGCGGTATAGGCCATCTACGTCAAAATTGTGATTATTTTTTGTTTATAAATTATGATAATTTAATATAATTATGTATTATTTTAGCTAAAAAATAAACATAATTATCAAGATGTATATAATGGAGATTTCCATATTATACTCTAAGATTTGGGGGAACCCACTTGGTCTCCCCTGTTTTTCAACCCCCTTGTACATTCAGAATACAATATCGTGTGTTGTGTGTGGTGTGTGATGTGTGCGGCGTCGTGCGGCGTGCATGTGCTGGTGGCGTGCGTGGCGTGGTGCGTGCGAGCGAGGTGGTGCGTGCGTGCGTGGTGGTGCGTGGTCATGTTGTGTTGATTCCAATAAAGAATTTTTGGCAGTATGCTACGTGTACGTCCATTGTGCATTTTAGTATCTTTGCAGTGAGTGGCCAGAGATCTAAGGTTTTCTCAAGCTTTCTACAGATTATTCAATTATTTTATTATTATTATTATTATTTCCAAAGTGGATCACGGCATTAGCCGGTGGCTTCTGGGTTGACCGTGTCCCAACCTGGGACATAGGGATTCAATCTAGAATTTTTCGCAAGATGTGTGCTGTTCCCAGTAGTGCGACTTTCTGCACTTCTTGGGCAGTGTGGTGGCCAGGGAGTTCCTTAAGGTTTTTCTCAAAACCATTCTTTATAGAGCCAAGGGCTCCAACCACCACTGGTACAATTCTCGTCTTAGTATTCCACATCCTCCTAATTTCGATCTCCAGATCTTTGTACTTGGTGAGTTTCTATTCGTTTCTTTTCTCTTTCTTTGATCTATTTCCTTCACCATGATGTTAGAATTATCTGGTACGGCTACGTCGATCAACAGGCATCGTTTTTCTTTCATGTTGTGGAGCACTATATTAAGGCGGTTTGCAGGTATCGTGCGATCTGTCTGCACTGCCATATGTCACATTATGGTAGTATCTCCGATGTTGGTAACTGGTCTCGGTGTATATTCATACCACTTGTCAGGTACTTGCTCACCAAGTTTACTGCAGATTGACCAGTGCAGATAGCTGGCTACCTTGTTGTTATGGCAATATTATGTGCTCGGTTGGGGCCAGCACTGCATCCGGCGATGATGTGGCTGATGGTCTCTTCTGCCTTGCTGCACATTCTGCACTTGCTGTTGACCTGTTGCTTGAGGATGTTGCGTTGATGGTATCTGGTGTTGAGTGCTTGGTCTTGGGCTGTAATGATCAGGCTTTCTGTCACCCCCTTGAGCCCGGAACTATTCAGCCAGGCAACGCTTGCAGTCTTGTCGACAAATGGCCTGTCTAGGCTCTTGTAGAATCTTCCATGCAAAGGCTTGTTTTTAATACCTCGATTTTCTCTGCTTCCATATTGGTCTTCAGTCTCTGCTTTGTTGATGATTGGCTAATGGGCTGAGGAAACAAGTATTTGGCTTTGATTTCTTTAGCCTCGCGTAAGAGAGCGTGCTTTGATTTTCTAGACTGATGGATTTTAATAAGCTTTGTAAATTTGTCTTTCTTAAGCTCGATGTAGTCGCCTGTGGCAGTGTTGTACGCAGACATCAGTTCAATGAGACCACGACCACCATTTTGCCTCTTGATGTACAGTCGCTCTACATCTGCCTTTGGGTGGTGGAGACCGTGCATGGTTAGTAGCTTTCTTGTCTTGCGATCCATCATTTCGATATCTGATTGCAACCAATTGATCACCCCAAAGCTGTACACGAGGACCGGGAGTGCCATGCTATTAATCGCTGTTATCTTGTTTTTTTGAGCAGACCTCAGACTTGAGAATTAGGCGAACTCGGCGATAGTACTCCTTAGCAATGTTCTCTTTTATCTTTGCATGCTGAATACCATCACTTTTGTCTGCACCAAGAAATTTGTAGGTGTCCTCGTGGTTTAGACTTTGTAGGGCTTTCTTGTCATCAAGCTCGATATTTAGACTTTTTACTAGCTTACCACCTTTTAAGATTGCGGTTGCTCACTTTTCCAAGCTGAACTCTATTTTGATAGCATTACTGAATGCGTTGACTGTTACCAAGGCCTGCTCCAGCTCATATTCGTTTTTGGTAAACAGTTTAAGGTCATCCATGTAGAGCAGGTGGCTGATGGTGTTGTGTATATCAACTGTAAATCTCAGACCCTGTCTATTCAGCATGTTGGTAATCGGTGTTAGTGCTAAGCAGAATAGCAGGAGAGAGAGCGAGTCGCCCTGGAAGATTCCTCTCTTGATTGAGATATCTTCTGTCCTGAGGCAGCCTCTTTGAGTGAAGAGGAGCATTTCAGTCTTCCATTTTTGCATTGTAGCTTTCATAAACTAAATGATGGTTGGTGACACACGGTAGATTCTCATGGCTGCGAGAATCCAGGAATGTGGGACACTGTCAAAGGTTTTCTTATAATCAATCCACGCCATTCCTAGGTTTCTCTTGAGCTTTTTTTCCATGCTTACAATGATGTTACTGATGAGAAGTTGGTCTTTGCACCATCTAGACGTTCTTCTACAGCCTTTCTGCTCATCTGTAATGATGCCGCTCTTCTGTAAGTGATTGTAGAGGCGGGTTGGTGATTGCAGCAGTGAAAATATTGTAGGTGGTAGGCAGGCAAGTGATTGGTCGATAGTTCTTTGGTTCTTTTGTATTCTTGCCTTTTGAAAGAAGAAAAGTAATTCCTGATGTCAACCAGTTAGGGCTATTGCTTGGATCCTTGATGGTGTCATTCAAGGCCCTGGTTAGTTGTTTATGGAGGGCACTTAAATGCTTAATCCAGAAGTTGTGCAGCTTGTCTGGGCCAGGAGATTTCCGGTTGTGGGTCCGCTTGATGGCCTGCTGCACCTCACGTAATGTCAGTCCATACATCTATGGCTACATTCTGGAATGCTTCCTCTTGTTTGATCCAAGTGGCTTTGGTATTGTGGTCTGTGCCAACTTCCAGTATTCTACG